AAACTATATGTATGAAACTATAACTCATTTAATAAAACAGAAATACCTATTTTTAATCTGTAAATTTCACCTGTTAATTTCTGACGGAATTTAAAGTTGCTTAGTTCATTACAATCATTTTTATCATGAAATAATGGGTTTCGTTTTCAGTTGTACAGGAATTATATACATCTGACAATTACAAAGTAAGCAGAGTTAGGGAAGACATGATATCTTACTTTGTTCATAATCACAGCTAATTCCTCATGGTAGTATTCTAAATAGGATTCTAACAGATTTAATAATTGTTTTCAGTTTAGAACATAAGTAAAAGCCAAAGATGGGGGGTCATAAAAAGTTATTCAGAAACTATTTTATGACCTTGCCATAAGTAAAATTACATAGTCCATAACATACTTTCTAGGCCTTGATGTATTCAAGTTCTAAATGTCTAAGTACTATAATACAAATAATTACATTTATATATTCTCATAATGTCTGATGTATTTGTGTAATACTAGCTATTTTTATTAGTATTTCATGGTATATCTCTTTCTATTCTTATATGTTTAATCTTATGTTTAAAGTGTATCTTTTAAACCCAAAATGACAAACTTGCATTAAAAGGGGAGAGATACATATTTTTCAAAAGTACCACTATCATAAAAGAGAAAAAAAAAAAGACTATAAATATTCAAGTTTAAAGACAACTAAATGAAATACCTGATCCTAAACTGGTTTCTCTAATGGAGGGGCAAAAATACTGCTGTATAGAACATTACTGGGTCCGTTGACAAAACAAGAATATAGACAGTAGAGTATATAACTTGCTGTCAATTTTTCAAAGAGAAATGCATGTGTGTGTCCATATATACACAGAGAAAACAGGAAAAAAGTGGTAAAATGTTAAGAACAGCTGAATCCAAACAAAGAGGTATATGGCTCTTTGTACTATTCTTATTCTCACAACTTTTCTACAATTTTAAAATAATTAAAAATTTTTTAAAGTAATGAAATACCATAAAATGCATCTCTTGAAACAGCATGGTTGGGTCTTGGTTTTTTTAAATCCAGTATGATCTCTGTCTTTCAACTGGAGTATCTTGTCAATTTATATCTAATGTAATTATTGATATGGTTGGTGCTAAGTCTATCACCTTGCTTTTGGGTTCTATTCATCCTATCTTTGCTTTTTTATTGTTTCTTTCTTCCTTGTTCTTTTTCCTCCTTTCCTTTCCTCTGAATTAATCAAAAATATATTCACTGTTCAATTTTATCCCCTCTACTGGCTTCTTAGCTATGTATCTATCTCAGAATTTTAATGTTTGCTCCAGGGATTGAAATAGGCATCCTGAACTTATCATAGGCTACCCTAAACATTATACCACTTCATGTATTATATAAGAAATTCACAACAGCATGGTATCATTTACTCCCATCTTTTGTGTAATTATTGTCATATACTGCCTTCCAAAATATATTATAAAACCCACATATACCATGATTGTTTTTGACTTAGACAGAAATTTTAAAAATTCTTTAAATAAAAATAAATCAAGAAATGTGGAGGGAGGAAGCATTTTATTTTTTTGTCTACATATTCGCCATTTCTGGCCCTATTTACTTTTTTCTGTAGATCTAAGTTACCATCTGGTATTATTTTCCTTCAGCTTGAAAAATGTTTTTTTTTTTTTGAGATGGAGTCTCGCCCTGCCGCCCAGGCTGGAGTGCAGCGGCGCGATCGCGGCTCACTGCAACGTCTGCCTCCCGGGTTCAAGCAATTCTCTGCCTCAGCTTCCGAAGTAGCTGGGATTACAGGTGCCAGTCACCACACCCGGTTAATTTTTTTGTATTTTTAGTAGAGACAGGGTTTCACCATCTTGGCCAGGCTGGTCTTGGACTCCTGACCTCATGATCCACCCGCCTCGGCCTCGCAAAGTGCTGAGATTATAGGCCTGAGCCACCGCACCTGGCCGAAAAACTTTCTATAACGTTTATTTAAGTGTAAGTCTAGTGGTGACAAAGTCTTTAAGTTTTAGTTCATTTGAAAATGTCTCTATTTCAGCTTCATTTTAAAGAATATTTTTGGCAATACAAAATCCTAGATTGACAATTTTTGTTTCTTTTCAACACTTTTGGAATGACATACATTGACTTCTGGCTTGCATTGTTTCTGATGAGATGTCACTGATAATTTTCATCACTGTTTGCTTGTAGGCAATATGTTTTTCTTCCTCTGGCTATTTTTAAGATTATTTTCTTTGGTTTTCATAATGTGTACATGTATGTTGATTTTCTTTGTGTTTATCTTGCTTGGGATTTGTTACGTTTCTTGCATCTGTGCGTTTATGTTTCTCAACAAATTTCAAAACTTTTCAGTCATTATTTCCCCTGATATTTTTCTACCCCAATCTCTCTGTCCTCTCTCCTTCTGTACCTATAAACCACATAATTGTTAAGCTGCATAATATCCTTGAAGATATTATAGCTTTGTTCATTTTTCTTTTGTCCATTTTTTTCTCTGTGCTTTGATTTGGATGGTTTACATTGATCTATCTTCAAATTCACTGATCCTTTCTTCTACAGTATGTTATCTCAGCTAAATCCATCTGGTGAATTTTTCATTTTATTATTTATTTATTTATTTATTTGAGATTGAGCCTCACACTGTCACCCAGGCTGGAGTGCAGAGGCATAATCTCGGCTCACTGCAACCTCCACCTCCTGGGTTCAACCAATTCTCCTGCCTCAGCTTCCTGAGTAGCTGGGATTACAGGCGCCTGCCACCACGCCTGGCTAATTTTTTTGTATTTTTAGTAGAGACAGGGTTTCACCATGTTGGCCAGGCTGGTCTTGAACTCCTGACCTCAAATGATCCGCCTACCTTGGCCTCCCAAAGTGCTGAGATTACAGGCATGAGCCACTCCTGGTGGGTTTTTCATTTTAGATATTAATTTCTATCAACTTTTTCATTCTGGTTAAGAGTCACATTTTCCTGCTTTTTAACAAGCATAATAATTCTACGCCAGACATTGCGGGTGCTTTGTTATTGAGAAACTGAATTATGTTGTCTTACTTTAGAGAGAGTTTTCTTCTATCAGACAATAAATCTACAGGTGGATCAAGATGCTGAAATAGAGGCTTGGTTTGGGGCTTTGTTGTATGAGATCTATAGTAGCCTGTCTTCTACTCCTAGAATGGCCCTACTCTTAAGGTGTGACCTTTCTGAGGTCACAGCTGAAAGCACAGTATGTTCAGCAAGCTCTCCCCACACTGGCTGGTCTGAGCTCCAACACTGCTGAGAAGCTTCCAACTTCTAAAATCTTCATTCAGCTCACAGTCCCACAGTAGCTGTTTTCTGCCAAGCCTTGTGGTGTACACAGCTTCATATCTGACCAACAGGCTAAGAGTCTGGAAAGTATTCACGAAGAAGATGCAGGGATGAAGGCAGAGCTCACCTAGTATGTTCTTTTTTCTCAGTTGACTGTGCTGACTACCTAATTACAGCAAAAGGTAACTTCATCAAGAAGAAAAACAGAAGTCCTTAATTCTAATTATTTCTAATCCAGCTTTAAAATCTATTATCTTATTTCATACTTAAACAGGGATATGAAAGGCACACATTATTTACATAGGACGGATGAGCAAATCAACATGCAAAATGTTAAATAACCAGCCTCCAACCCATAAAGATATTTTATTCAATACACAAATATTCACCAAGTACCTACTACAGGCATGGTAACTGACAAAGCAGTAAAAAGAACTTAGAGAATATAGTTTCAACCAATATTATTTCTACTGAACCACCAGTAAAGCATATACACTGTACCAAAAGTTGTCTAACGAATGAGAAACCAGGAATCAATCATGCAATCCACCAAGAACATGCCTACATTCTAAAAAATGACTATAATTTACATTCATGATTTACTTTTTTCTGCAAAGGCTCCTATTTGCCATGGAAGTAATTTCATTCCTACACAATTACGTTTTCCAATTCCCTACATATACTTAATTTTTTTCATATTAGCAGATACTATCTAATAAGTTACCTCTATTTAGTTATGTCAAACTTGCTTCAGCTAACTCTTAATTATATTTCTAATTTCCATCTGGCCAAATCAAATATATTTTGCTCACACATGGAGAAAAAATATAATACAATTTCTAAATATCATTTCAGCAGCATCATACCAGAGAGTAATATCATTCCTTTAATCTTCAACGAATCAAGCAAAGTGATACATTTATACTTCACAGATCTATTCTCATCTCTCAAAATAAGCTCTTGTTCTGTCATGTAACCCAATATATGCACAAGTTGACTCTAAGGAAATAGTCAACAAAATTAAGCTATATACATGTTTATAAAATAATGCTTAAGAACATTTTAATATTTTTTACCTTAATATATGACTAATTCCAGTGAAGTAAAGTATACTACAACAGAAAGACAGATACTATACATATTGAGAATATGCTTCTGTTTTTAAAGTCTGCCAAAAAAAAAAAAAGAAGTCTGTTAAAAGGTTTTTTGTTGTTGTTGTTTAGATGGAGTCTCACTCTGTTTCCCAGGCTGGAGTGCAGTGGTACAATGGCTCACTGCAACCTCTGCCTCCCAAGTTCAAGCGATTCTCCTTCCTCACCCTCCTGAGTAACTGGGATTACAGGTGCCCGCCACCACACCCAGCTAATCTTTGTATTTTTAGTAGAGACAAGGTTTCACCATGTTGGCCAGGCTGGTCTCAGGCTCCTGACCTCAGGTGATCCGCCCACCGTGGCCTCCCAAAGTACTGGGATTACAGGCATGAGCTACTGCACACAGCCTGTTAAAAAGTTTTTTGAAGATGGTAGAAGTTAATGCCATCAGCAACATCACATTCAAATGCAAGCATTACTTTCTCACCCTGTTTATGACTCTCAAGGTAATGTTTTAGGTGGCTTGTTGTTGCTGTTGCTGTTGTTATTCTAAACTGTTACTCTGAATCAAGACGACACCCTTTGTAAAAGGCTCTTACCTGTAGAACATCTTGGATCTTCACCCATACATCTGCCATGTCATACAGTTTGATATCTTCCTGCTGAGTCAGTGGAGTCACTACAGTGTCCTGCAGGTATCCCAGGACAACAGAGTGTGCAGTGGCTACAGCATTAAACTTGTCAAACAGTAACTCCAGCAGTTCTAGAAGCAACCTAGTGACATAAACAAATAAATAACATTGACACATACATACATGCAGATAAATGGCTTACAGTGACCTGCAAGAAAAACATCAAACTAAAGTAGCGCTCTCACTCTACAATGTAAACAGCATAAACGTTAGATTTCAGCAGATGTGAATTCAAACAACTGTATTTTCTTAAGCAACTCTTAAAAACTTATCTAAGCCTCAGTTTCCTCTGCTATAAAATGGAAATGATGTAAGAATTTTAAAACCAATTATAAAGCCCCTAAACCAGCAACAGCATCTCAATAAACATATGTTGCCTCTTTAACGTAGCTCACTGATTACAATACTACTACTATGTATTCATATAGGCAGCTTCTCCAAGGAATTCACGCATTTCAGACAACAGCTCAGATGTAACACAGAATATGCTATTCCCCAGCAATAAATTAGGAACTTTGATAAGCATATTAATCCATTTAGTCAGGGAAAGCTGCACTTACTACAATCCAAACGCATGGCCCGAGTTGCCTGAAAAAAATATATACACCTGCCAAGCAATCTGACTTTCACCACAGGGAGAAGCTCAGGCATCCACATTATCTCATTCATCATAGTGAGATATGCTGGACACATATTATTACATCAGTTTTATATACTCAAGGACACAAAATAAGGTTGCAGTGCAGCTAGGCCTAGAACAAAAGCTGATTTCCATGTCAGTACATTTAGCCACCTACCTCTCACTACAGTTCTAGAATGTAGATGTATCTTTAGAAATAGCACAAAGATTTATGTCAGAGATGCAAAGTAATTACTCTACCACTGAGACTTACAGTTTCAATGATCACATAGGCCTGGAATCATCTTTTCCTCCTCTGAACCTGTATACTATTTTGTCCTGCTTTTAAGGAACTTATCACGTGAGCCTCACATATGTGGCTCAATAAATGTCGGTCATATTTCTTTATATATAGATATTTTACCTCACTTCTCCATTATTAATCTTTCAGAGTAGGCACTGCTTTATACATCTCTGAATACTTAGGAGCACTTAGAACAATAATTAGCAAATACTGTTGAATGAATTTAACGTGTATAGGATGAACAAGTACAGAAAACATTGCAATGTGAGCTTTATTGTATATTTTGTGGCTCTCAGCTTGTAATTCCTAAATATACTGATAAACCAACTTGGAAAGTTGAAAAGGAAAGCAAAAGAGCTTGTCAGCAGTGTCAATTAACAAGGTTTTATTACCATAAATAAGGGGTTATAACTACAATCTCATCAAAACGTACAGCACATTATCTATTCTATGGCTTCTTTACTGCCCAATTATTGTAATTAATGTGCCAATGTGACAGCCCATAACTATCTTCTGGTAAAACCATAATATCTATTTGACACTGTAATTCGGATGAGACAAAATCAATAGAATTTATGTAGTACTCCCAGCCTAGAATATACATACATAATCCAGACGTTACACATTGTAGTTATAAATAGAAGTCATTCTACCTTTTGATTGATGATTCTTTTTAATCCTTTAAAGGTCAAATTCATATTTATACTCACGTATATCTAAAATAATTCTTCTTTCTCATCTGTGTTATTGAAGAACTACTCAAATATTAGCAGAGATACATACTAGATACAGAAACATGTGTCTAAACATACCAACTGAAACACTTAATGTGGTGCAGGGAAATAAGCCGTATAAAACTGGTATCTGGCAACATACAGATCAGTAACTTAATCAGTAAATACCTGATTAAGTGAAAGTTCTCCTTTTCCAACAAAGATTTATTCTAGGTATGTAAGACTGTGGTTCTCAAATATGAATCTACAGACTTAGTATGTTTTTGAGTGGTGGATAGCAAAGTATGAATAATATATGGACTTTTCACAAAGGTAAATTTATTTAACATTACATCTTTTGTACTCTCTTGATAGGAAAATCTTAGTTATTTTCTGCCATGAATGGCAGTTATGTTGCCAAATGTCCTTACTGGAGAAAATTAAAACTTAATGTATGTTAACGTAAATGTTGGGGTATTCAAAACATGGTTTGAAATCATATTGATCCATGACATTCAGATGCCTGAGGTACACTGGTGTCTAATGTCCCAGTGGCATGAAGTTCTAGATACAGGATTGTGAACCAGCAGCAAAGTTTTAATGGAAAAGTGGCTCCTCTTGTTAGGGGTGCTGTTATCTGGTTATCTGCAGAGCCGATGAGTTCCACAACTGCATACCTTGCCTGTCAGTCAAGGACAAGAGCTGCTCAGCAGCCAGGAGCAGTGCTACATTTAGGAAAAAAAAAAACCCAGTAGAGAATAGAGGTGTAAGATGAGATTCACAGTATCTATTAACATCTTGGAAATAGCCATCTCTTAATAAAATGCTGACACAGTTCCAGCTTCTGCCACTCCTGGAGGCTCAAAGCCAAAACAGGCCTGTTCCTATAGTGTGGCCATCACAGCCACAGGACGGGCTACATAGGGAGAAAGGAAAGGAAATGTAATAGTAGCTAGGAGACAGATCACAAGTGGTGACACTCCACTTGCAGCTCTACCTATTTTGAGACCTCCAGCCATTTTAACAGGAGGAAAGCTCTCTTCCACCTTACCAAAGCACAATGGTGTCATGTTATTTAATAAAACCCACAGCTCTCACACCAAAATTTAAAATGTTTGTGCTTCAAATGATACCATCAAGAAAGTAAAAAGGCAATACACAAAATGAGAGAAAATATCTGTGAATCATTAATCTGATAAAAGACAAATCTAAAATCTTACACTCGTAATAAAAAGACAACTGAACTTAAAAATGGACAAAGGATTTAAATATCCATTGCTCCAAAGAATATATATGAATGGCCAATAAGCAAACAAAAAGATGCTTAACATCATTTAGCCATCAGAGACATGCAAATCAAAATCACAATGAGCTAGAACTTCAGTCCACTAGGATGGCTATAATCAAAAAGCAAAGCAATAAAAGTATGAGTAAGGATGCAGAAAAATTGGAACTCTCATACAGTGCCAGTGGGAATGTAAAATGGTACAGCCGCTTCGGAAAACACTTTGGCAGTTCCTCGGGACATTAAGCATAGTTACCATATGGAGCCAGTGATTCCATTCCTAGCTCTATACCCAAGAGAAATGAAAACATACGTGCACATAAAATCTTGTACACAAATGTCCTTAGCAGTGTTATGCATAAAAACGCAAAGGTAGAAACAATCCAAATATCCATCAACTGATAAATGGGTAAATAAAATGCAATATATTCATACAATGGAATATTATTTGGCCATAAAAAGGAATAAAGTACTGATACATGGTACAATCGGAATGAACCTTGAAATTACTATGGTAAGTGAAAAAAAGTCACAGAAGACCATATATTATATGATTATGGTAATATAAAATATTCAGGATAGGCAAATTTATAGAGACACAAAATATATTAGTGGTTACTTAGGCTGGGGGTGGGTGGGAACTGACTGATAAAGTATATGGGATTTGTTTTAGGGAGGACATAAACTTGCTGGAACCAGATAGTGGTGACGGTTGCAAAACTCTATGAATGTACTAAAAACCACTGAATTGTATACTTTCAATAGGTGAATTGTGCAGCAGTGAATTATACCTCAATATAGCTGTTCAAAGAACAGCAGCTGTGGCTCTGAGTGGGGAGAGGGAAGATCCAACACCTCTCTAACAGTGAAGAGGAAATACATAAAATAGTGAAAAATGAAACTTGGCATCTCAAAAACCGAGGTGTTGTGAAAGCTGATTCCTTTATATTCTTACTACCAGGAGGACATCAACTTTTCTCTTTTAGCTCACTTGTTTTTTTGTTTGTTTCTCCTTCTTAAATAACATGTAAGAAACAACAGATTTCCATTCTTTCCCAGCACTGACACTTCCTACATCTTTCATTATGAAAAAACTCTCCCAACTTCTCCAAGTATCCCCATCTGCAAAGCGAAAGTATTAATTAATAACTGTTCTAAGAGACTCACAACACTGCTGGAAAAATCGAATTAGAAAATAGAACTAGCTGAGGTAATGGTACAATTCTAAAGAGAGGGGAAGGTTCAGGTTTCCTTTGTCTGAAATTCTGGCTTGAGCAACACTGAGGAGAATGGTTAACCTTTCCTGTGTGAAAGCAAAATAAATCTTGGGACCCCAAAATCACTAAGACAAAGGGAAAAGTCAAGCTGGGAACGCCTTAGGGCAAACCTGCTTCCTGTTCTATTCCTTAAAAAAATAGCTACTAAGATTTTTTTTTAAAGCTACATACCTCCCTCACGGTTTGTCCACACGGAAATTCCTTGTGGACAAAGAACAGACAGAACTCAACGTCATGTCTCTGGTCACTGAGATAAATTTGTATCTGATTGCTTCCTTTGGAAAGGCTAATCAGAAACTCAAAAGAATGCAACTGTTTGTCTCTATCTATGACCTGGAAGCCCCTCCTCGCTTCGACTTGCCCCACCTTTAGGGATGAAACCAATGTATATTTTACATATATTGGTTGATGTCTCATGTCTCCCTAAAATGTATGAAATTCAAAATAAAAATAAACAAGCTGTGCCCTGACCAGTGTGGGCACATTTCATAAGGACCTGAGTCTATGTCATGGCTACGTCCTTAACCTTGGTAAAATAAACTTCCTAAATGGTTGAGACCTGCCTCAGACACTCTTTGGTTTATGCTTGAGAGAGGTGGGGGGAGAAAGAATTAAAGTGAAACCAGAAATCTGGAAGGACGCCGGGTGCGGTGGCTCACGCCTGTAATCCCAGCACTTTGGGAGGCCGAGGTGGCGGATCACCTGAGGTCGGGAACTGGACCAACATGGAGAAACCCCGTCTCTACTAAAAATACAAAATTAGCTGGGCGTGGTGGCGCATGCCTGTAATCCCAGCTACTCGGGAGGCTGAGGCAGGAGAATCGCTTGAACCCAGGAGGCGAAGGCTGGGTGAGCCAAGATTGCGCCATTGTACTCCAGCCTGG